ATAAGAAGAAATTTAAGCACATTCGTCACGCACAGCCTGTTTTTCAAGCTGAGAAGCTACATCAAAAATGACACTATGTCAATCCATGTTCCATTCCTCACACCTCTTCATGTATTATAAGGACACTACAACTGCATTAGCGTATCTCCTCTGAAGATGGTCTGAACACATCAAAGCTTGGGCTGAATTACAGGATTATTTTTTTCTTTTCCCTGTTGACTCTCAGGACTTTAGCGTAGAGGATGTTCTGTGGCAGGGGAGTAAGTACTCAGCCTTTCTGATGAAATATTTATATTTTGCCTAAAAGAAATCAAGGTGCAATAGGGCAGAGAAAAAGCTCACAAATCAGCATGACTCGACAGATCACTGGGTGGGAGTGAAAAGAAACTCCATGCGTTAGGGTCTTAGGACTCCATCTGTATTTTCTTCAGTGATTAACACAGTCTGACTTCTGCATTGATGACCAGTACATAGATCGCCCCAGGTGTCTTAAAGAAACAGTGGCAGAACCATGAAGAGAAACCAGTTCTTCTGGATTACTATGGCTGTGTGCTAGCCACAAGCCATTAATTTTCTTTACAGAAAAAAATTAACAGATTTTTTTTTGTCCTATACATATCCTATAAAATAGAAGTATTTGTTTTCCTCATTCTTTCCAGCAATCACTATTTTTTCTGAGCTTACACACATAAAAGGAGCTATGTACAGTATTTTCAAGCCAAAACATGCCAGCTTCCATCCCCTTCTAACCCTAGGCCAGTTGTTTTGACTTTTTCCACCTCCCAAAATGTAACTCGGATTTTTGAAAACCAGTGATTCTTGTTTTAATGACAAGCGGGTCTGCTACTTTTTATTCCTATTTTTCTGCATTTTTCCACCCGAAATTTTTGTTTCTTCCTCCTTATCACCCAATACCATCCACTTTCAAAGAAGTTATTTAGCCATTCTCCTCTGTTATCATCCCACTCAGCTTTACTAGAATGCACGAGAAAATAAAGACAAATGGGCAAGGTGGATTTAACTCTGCATTACTAAACAACCACTGCATTGCCATTTCTGAAGATCCCTTCCATAGGCATTCCCACAAAAAATGTAGCATAGGAAGCAGCAACGCAGCTGTTTCATCTTCCTTCCCGCAGAGACCAAACCACGACAGAACAGGCTACAACAGTCAATGCTATTTAGTAGATGTCCCTCATCAGGAGACTCAAAGCTTTAATCCAGTGATTCAAGTGAAGAGGAAAAAAGAAGTCAACAAGGAAAGCATGTGCTGCTAATTGGATGCATGCGGCATTGATGCCACCTCAGCCATCAATCTGCAGCTCAGCCATCAATTTGCAGTGAGACACTGACCTAAGAACTACCTTAGAACTGTTTTCTCTATTCAGAAGAGCAGTTTTTACACACATTAACATTTCTAGAGTAGAGGACACATCACTAAGGTGCTGTTCAAGTGCTATTACCTGCAACGCAAAGATAAACAAAACTTCACCCGGGCAGAACAGAACTGCGCACAATGGAATCCAGCCAATGTAATTAAAGCTTAATGCCTACTTAACAGTCAAACTGCGGCCCTGCCAACCAAGTGCCACATGTTGCCCAGCTGAACGCTTCTCAGAGGAAGCAACTCTGAAGATTTTTTGCTTGAGTATTTTGGGATACACATGAAATTGGGTTTTTTTCCCCCAAGAAATGAAACAGCTTTGATCAGGTTGCTGGAGTAACAAGCATTCAAAAACAGCTCCCATCTTTTGAGATGTATCTGTCTAAAGAAAAAATATTAAACTAGCCACTAGACAACATATGTTGTTTTTCTTTTAATAATCCCTTTGTATACAGCAAGCATTTTTTATTTGAGAAATTTGAATAATGTTGGAGCCCACTGGCTTGAGCAAGCTGCAGTCTACAGACCAGTTTCTTCTCACCATTGCATGTCTGAAGTAATCTCCATGTCAGTTACAGTTAAATTACCATCACTGTCAGAATGACACTTTGAAAACTTTACCTCTAAAATGTCTCTATACAAACTTTTGAAGTTGCAATTTCTGCAACTTCTGTAACTTTCAGCTTGTGGCCAGGCAAAGAGTCTAAGCTATGTAATACAAATTGGGCAATGTGTCTTTCTATGAAAATGCAATCTATAAACCAAATCCTTCCTGTTACTGCTTCCGATGGAGAACACAGAAAGTAGGCTTGACACAACTTTGAACTATTTTACTGAGACTTTTTTTCATGTCTCCTCTCACATGCAGCCAGCTGATCTAACTACATCATTCCAATCCTGATGGCAGACATAAAATCCTATAAAAGTTATTCATAACCCAGGTTCTATACAGATAGTAAGTATTTGGTATCAAACTCCATTACATCAGTCTCTTCCACAGCTAAACATACCATCTCCTCCTAAGAACCTTTCGTCAAATGCAGCTGTACTTAATTACAATTCAGATGTCAGACTTGCATACAGTATGATAAACATCTCTTTACTAAGGGTACACACCACCCTAAAATAAATGCATGCTTCCAAAGCACTTGCAACAACTACAAATCACACATTCCATTTTAAAACAATAAACCTGCAGCATTATCCTGAAACACGGTAACACAGTAACTATGCCGATAAAGTTTAAAAAACTTTGAAAAAAAACCAAAAAAACCAAAAAACCAATCAAAACCAACTACCAAGAAAAAGACATTTTATTCACTGCCCAATTAAGAATACCACTTGGGCATTCAACAGTCTTTGTTCACTGTTCTGTCTTCCCACTGTTGCTTACACACACAGAGAAGCTACTAAGATGCAATACACATTTATCTGCCCAGTTATATCTCAAATTCAGGCCACAATCTTAAACCGTATGTTCTAACACCAGACATCAATTTAATTACTAATAATCTGGGAAATACTTTTACTGCTAACAGTCAGGAAATTAAGTACATGCTTAAGTGCCTGCAAGACCACTGCCTTGTGTATTTTACAAAACATTAAATTAATTTGTGTTTGATGGATGCTTTATTGAGCTAGTTTTGTCCTTGGTAAGGGACAGTCTATGGTGAGTATGAAAAGATAGTAATTCTGTAACGTTTTATGGTAATTCATTGAATATTTGTGATTGATAAGGCTTGCTTAACCAGATTTTGATTAATTACCCTTTGCATTCCCCCTCCCTCGGCTCCCGTAGTTTGAATTAAAGGGGAAAAAAGAAACTATGATGTATAGGCACATCTCTGCTTTCTCAGGGGAAAGTGGGGTGGGAAGGGAAAAGATGAGAAAGGAGAGAGAGCAACCAAGCAGAAACATGACATATGAAGTGTACATTGTTGAATGGCTTTATGATTTCTCTTGTTAATACTATCTCCACTCAGCAGTAGAGTAATAAATCCCAAACACACACTATTTAGGCTTAGTGTTAATAATACATAATGGTAACAGCCATTATAGTACCTGATGTTATAACTGTCCAAAACATGCATAATAAACTTTGTAAAACTCACTGTTAAAATTAATATACTAAGAAGTCCAAACTTCCAGGTAAGTGAAAATAACTAAGATGTCTTCATCTTGCCCTTAAGTGACACCACATAATTATCACTACATTTTAACATGATCTCATGATTTAAGTCTATTTTTACAAGCTGTTGTTTGTTTTCTAAAAACAAATCTGTTTTCCTCACCAAATCATTTCCTGGCTGGGCACGTTTGTTTTTAAGATGCTTATACCATCTGCCCCATGCCTTTTTTCTTACGATCGCTGGGACAGATGATGGGTCAGCTCTCGGCTAAGGTGGCTGCTCGCCTATTCTGAGTGTTGTTATATCACATCAAGCTACTGTCCAACACTGGTAACGGGTGAGATCCTAAGTATAACAGGACCATTAAATACAGGCAACAGTTCGACATCTCACCCGCTGGTCTTCGAAGAAGACAATGCACTTTTGAGGGCGCAGACCCTCTGAGGGCAGGCCCGCACCTAAGGGTGAGGGCGGGGCGAGCTCCCTGCCGTGCCGGCCGCTCCACAGCCTCCAGCTGCGGCGGGGGAGCAGTGCTTCCAGCACCCCCAAACCGCTCCTACAGGCACTCCTCCGCCCCGCAGGGCCCCCAGCTTCCCTCAGTATTTACGAGGATTTATGAATTTGCTAGAAAATTCTGAGGAAAACCTGTCTCCCGCTGCCAGCCCGGGCTTCTACCGAGCTCTAGTGCGGCGCTCCGGGCGCCAGCGGTATTCCGGTATACCTCGGCGGCTAGCGAGACGATGGTGCTTCCCCCACCGCCCGCCGCCACCACCTCACAACGGCACGACGTCGTGGCGGGGAGGCCGTGGAAAAGGGAGAGAAGCCCCCCTGAGGTGCGGCCGGGCCGCCCGGCGCAGCCCAGCCGGGCCTCCCTGAGGACGGAGAGAGGGAGCTGCCACCCAAGGAGGAGGCAAGGGTAAGGCAAGCTGGTAGGGAGAGGGCCAGCTACCTGAATCCGCTTCCTGTGCCTCCGCCGCTCCGCCATGTTGTCCCCGTCTGCTCCGCCGGTGACGTGAGGGAGCGCGGGGGGAGGGGGGGGTTGGTTCAGCGGCCTCGCGAGAGGCGGCGGGAGCCTGCGGAGGGGCGGGAAGGTCGAGGGACCTCGGCTCCTCAGCGGGTGGGTTGGCTGGGGGTTTCTATTGCTATAGTCCTCTGTGCCGGCTCACAGCATCCCTGCGCTGGGGCTACACATTGGTGGGCTGCCCCGGCTTAGACATTGCTGCGGGCCGAGGGGTCGGGTTCCTTTCTGGCTGTCACCCTCCTGGAGTAGTCTGGTTAATGAGAAACTCCCCCGGGGGGAGATGCTGCGTCCCCGGTGCCTGGGCCTCACTCTCGCCTCTGAAGTCGAGCTCGTAAATCGGGAGTGGTGCCTCTTGCCGCCCGGTTCCCTAGCAGGCAGCCGGGGCTACATGGTGCGGCCTATCCAGGGCAGGAGGTAGTGGTGTGGCCACATGCTGGACAAGCTGGGGAGTCTGAGCTTAAGAGGTGTCACTTGGGATCTGGAGAGTGAGCCCATCCTGGAATAGAAGTGCTCCAGCTCACTGGCAGTAAAAATGTACATGTTTAGTTTTGTTACTTCTAAATAGAAAGTTCAGCCTTAAATATGCTCCATGCAGCAGGCCTTTGTTAGTTCTTACCTGTTTAAACAGACTGGTTGCTCAGACCTCATATACTTACATAATTCAGAAAGCAACCTATATACAGTAAAAAGGTCTTTTGTCAGTGGCTGCCTTGCATGCTTTTGCTATGAGGTCACTCAAGTTAGCAAAGCATATAATCGTTTATCCTGGCTCCATGTTTCCAAACCACACCCTGGCACTTCGGGATGGAAAAGTATGTGCAGTCCTGTATTGCCTTGTCAAGCCCCTTCAAGTCATCCCTTCCCGTTCCTGTGATTTGGGAACCTCTCAGATTGAAAAGTAGGTAATTAAAAACATAAAATTGTTTCCAGCAGCAGATTTGCTCCAAGTCACTGTGACATTTTTTGTGGGTTTGTTGGGTTTTTTTTTGTTTGTTTTGTTTTGTTTTTGGTGTTTTTTCTTCTGGTACGACATCTTTTCCTTTTGAATATTTTCCTCTTGCTGTTGCTGGGCAGAAAATCTATACAAGTTACAAATTAAGCTGACAGGCTGCGGAGCGAACTAACCATAAAATGTAATTCAAGAGAAAAGATTGTGGGTATAGGGAATTAAAGTTTTTATGGTTATAATAAAACAATGCCCTGTACAAAGTAGGCAAGCTGCATTTAGTCAAAAAATACATTTTTAAGTTGGCAATCGTTTTAACAGTTACTTCATGTACTTAACTTACAGTAACATAAAAGCACATCTGAAACGGGGCTGTCTTGTGGAAGACGTTTTAGCCATCTGTAACTTACAGCTTGCTAATAATACACAATGCCTGCAGTGAGGGTTTTAGTATGGTGTAGCTCAGAGCCCTCTCCTCTCCCTGCACAGGCAGAAACTGAACTGAAGCTGTGAAACGCCTCCTGCTCTATGGGAGAGGCTGTTCAGAACCATGCTGTTATCTGCTTGCTGCCCTCCTTGTGAAGAGTGCAGCTGCTTCATGATGGGTCTCATTGCAGATCATCATCTGTCATACCTCTACTTTCAGGCTCTTTTAAGGCTTATTTTGCATATGCCTTCTATGCCTTAGCATCTACTGGAGATTCATAAACCCACCTTTAATGCTTAGCTCTTTTTTTTTTGCTTTTTTTAAAGTATCTAACTGCAGTAGATCAAGCTGCTTGTTGCCAGAAAAGCACCTTGGATTTCTGCTTAATCTCTTTTTTCTTTTTCTTTTTTTTTCCACAGAACTTTTAATTCACCTGAAGTTCAAGGAACAGTAACCTGAATGAGTTCTTCCCAGGACAGCTGGGCATGCAGCACCAGACTGGTGTGTAGCACAGGGAGCAAACTGATCATTTCCAGCAGATCTGTAAGAAAGGACCAAGGGATGGGAAGTGGACCAGGGAATGTGCCCTTCAGTGCAAGGCATGGATGCTGAACTTTGTGCCACTATGGAGCACAGAGCCTATCAAGGCTGAATATTACATGGGACAGGTTTGTTTATAGTCATTGTTATGGTGGGAGAACAAAAGAGAAGCAAGTGGCTGAGTCTCAAGAAAGCCAGTGAAAAAAGTGAAGGTTCAAAAGGCTTGCGTTTAAGGTCCGTGTCTGTCAACTGTAGGATAGGCCGCAAAAAGAAGCGTTTCAGAACCATGCATGGAAGTTAGCCCCTTAAGTACCTACTGCCATTTTTATTAGAGTAGGGTTTCAGAAACATTACTGTTGTGAAGGATATTGCATGCAAGTGGAGTGGTTTCCTTTTTCAACTGAAGCCAAACTGACAGCATTTAATTAGCCCCTTTTCCCTCCTGCCTCTCCTCTTTACCCCAAATGTGTGATCTAATATAGCAGTATGGATGCTGGATATTTAGTACAAAAAACAGGTGGATACATTCATGGAACAAAAATACATCATGAGCTGTTAAATATAAAATCATCTCTGGTTGTCTGTGAGATAGGTCCCTGGAAGTAGTCTGAAATGGCTGCTTTGTTCTTACACTCTGCTTTAGGTATCCTATCTTGGCCTCTGAGGCAGGACAGCGAGTTGGGTGGTGTTGTGCTCTTTCTGGTATGTGTTTTCTTGTAGCCTTATATTCACTTATTCCTGACAAATTATTGTGCTACTGGTAATCTCATTGTTTTGGGCTCAGTGCCAGTCATCCTGGATCTGTAAGAGAGTGTGAATATGCACCAGAAGTGCAAGGCTACATACACATTGGCAATTGAATTACTGACAAGCATGTCACAAACTCTCTGTACAGTCACACTGCTTTCTGCAGTATAGGAATAGAAGTGACACTGGAAGTCTGAGCAAGTGTCTGTTCTGCTAAACAAACCATTCATTTGCAAAAAGCTTATCCACTGGCTCCATGGTTAATCCTTCTGACTTTGAGGGGAGGAGAGGGGAGAACACAAGTCAAAATTACTTGCTGACAGGCAGGATGAAAGGAAGGCAAGCAGGCAGGAAGAAAGAAAAGAGCTTCCATAGAGGAATCCAAAGAAGTCAGACAAATACCCCAGCAATATGTTAGGAGCTATTTCCTAGATCATCTACAGATGGTAGCATGCTGCAGGCTCTGGAGTGACCACCCTTTTCATCTAGTCAGCTTCAGCACTGAATATGGGTTAAAAATATAAGGAATATTCCTTGACATACTTGTGAGGTGAGGTGATGCCAACCTCATGAAGTTTAACCATGACAAGTGCAAGGTCCTACACCTGGGTCGGAGCAATCCCAGGCACAGCTACAGCTTGGGCAGAGAAGAGATTCAGAGCAGCCCTGTGGAGAAGGACTTGGGGGTGTTGGTCGATGAAAAAATGAACATGGGCCAGCAGTGTGAGCTCACAGCCCAGAAAGCCAACCGTATCCTGGGCTGCATCAAAAGGAGTGTGACCAGCAGGTCGAAGGAGGTGATCCTGCCCCTCTACTCTGCTCTTGTGAGACCTCACTTGGAGTTCTGGTGTCCTCAACATAAAAAGGATATGGAACTGTTGGAACAAGTCCAGAGGAGGGCCACGAGGATGATCAGGGGACTGGAGCACCTCCCATATGAAGACAGGCTGAGAAAGTTGGGGCTGTTCAGCCTGGAGAAGGATGCGTGGAGACCTCATATCAGCCTTCCAATATCTGAAGGGGGCCTATAGGGATGCTGGGGAGGGACTCTTCATTAGGGACTGTAGTGACAGGACAAGGGTTAATGGGTTAAAATTTAAACAGGGGAAGTTTAGATTGGATATAAGGAAGAAATTCTTTCCTGTTAGGGTGGTGAGGCACTGGAATGGGTTTCCCAGGGAGATTGTGAATGCTCCATCCCTGGCAGCGTTCAAGGCCAGGTTGGACGAAGCCTTGAATGACATGGTTTAGTGTGAGGTGTTCCTGCCTTTCAGGGGGGTTGGAACTAGATGATCTTATGGTTCTTTCCAACCCTAACTATTCTATAGTTCTATGATAATATGGGCCTTGTGCCATACAGCATCACATACTTTCAAGGCAGGTTCAGCTAAAATCCACCCACAAATACATGAGTCATAATTCAGAAGCACACTCCAGTGTAGACATATCCTGAGTCACTTCCACCTCAGAAGCTTATAAATATTTAGTTAGCCACTTAGCTTTTAATTTAGCAGAGTGACAAAAGTTCATTAGACAAATCCCCAGAATTATCTTTTGCTAAGATGCTTCTTAAGTACTTCCAGTCTTGGAAGTTCTTTTCATTTCTATACAATTCAGAATTATTTGATACATATAACTTAGAAAACCCATGGTTGAGCTAAGAATTAATTTCTCCTGATACTGGTCCTTCTGCAACTAATTGCAGCTATTTCAAATACCAGCTTTGTTCATTGCAAGAATATATTTTCATTTTAGCAATAACTGATGAACCCTAGTAAGGGCATTCTTCTCCTGATGTGGAGTGGCATATACTCTTCCTAAAGACTTCTGGTCTAGGGGACCATGATGAAGTTTGTGGGGATGTACCTGGACACATAAGAATGTTAAATAGAAAACATATCTGTGCATTTTTCAGAAGAGCCAGCTAAGGTTTTAGGTAAAAGAGAAAAAAAAAAAAAAAGCTAAAAAGACTGGCTTGCTTGCTTGTATCTCAGTGTTTTTTGGCAGTGGCAGGAGGGGAAGAGAAAAATGGTGATATTTAAGGATAGAGCATTAAGAAAAACAAATGGTTACTTTTTTACAAAATCATGAATTTGTTGTTATGACTACAAGTGTTTGAGTTAAAAATATTTGTTATATAAAAATGTGATTCTTGAGTTTACGTCTCTCCAATTAACAGATTCAACCAGAAGCCAGTGATTGCTTTACAGACCATCTTTCAGTGCAAGTTTACGAACTGCTGGAGTCCCATGGATCCTGGAGTCCCAGACTGAGCAGCACTCCTCTAACAGAGTTGTTTGAATCCTGTAATGGAAAGGTAATGAGAAAACCAGGCTGGCTTGATGCTCTCTCAGCAGTGCTTCTGTTTGCTATTTTGGTTGGTTGATTTTTATTGCAGTAATTCACACACACAGATGCCACATTATATGTTTTTAAATTTTGATGAAGCAAAACATCTATTCATGTCTTTCCTCTACTATAGGAAAAAATAATATATTGTTCTCTATGCAACACAGACAATAGGTGTCTCTTTTCTATGGTCTAAGTAAAAGGTTTTGCATCCTCACCAACATGGAAATTGTTGGTTCAAGAAGAACACATGGGTAGTAGCAGAACTATTGTCTGTCTGGAAGAATACAGACTTAGGTAAATTTGGCAGTGGGAGTAAGGAAAGGGCTATCTAAAGGCCAAGTCAACAGAATAATTCTTGTGGCCTCAGTATAGGTGATAGTAGGAACAAAGCCTTCCTGAAGAAAGGAAAGAGCTTTGCAACTGCAAAGGCAGAAAGTAACCCCCCCCCCCAAAAAAAAAAAAATAGAAAAGAACCCCCAAACCAAACCCAAACCCTAACGAAACAAAAAAGGAGAGGTGAGGTTTTCTCTTACTATAGAATCATTGCCATGTAGATAGCTATAGAGCAGTAGAGCTATAGCTGTTTAGTGTGAATGGCTCAGTCAAAACCAAGCAGAACCCTGATGAACACCCAGCGTTATAAAACTGCCTTTTTGTTTTCCAGTGAATGATAAAGGGCTTAGATAGGACATTGATTTTGCCTTTATCAGGAGCAAGATACAGAAACAAGAGGTGTATCTAGTTTTGGGTGCTTTACTGTAGTAATTCCAACTGAGATGACTCAGAACTCTACATAACCAATCAACATTGATTTATGGTATTTGGAGAGTCTAAAATACGAGAAGTGATTTTTAAAACTGGAGGGAGGCGATTATTTTTTCTTTTTCACACTCAAAGGATAAATTAACATTCTGAAAACTATTTCGTGGAGGATTCACAATTTATAAGGTCTTAGAATGCTAAATTTTGTAAAGCAGCTGGTGGCATGGATATGAGTCAGTTTCAGATACCATCGCCTTGGTATTTGAAGCTGCTGGTTCTTGGGTTTGTGTGCTTGATTAGAATGGCTGCCTGACTTGGACAGGTAGGAATTCTGCCTAACTTGTCTATTTATAGCGGTTTTTAAGAGATTTTTCACCTGGGGAACTGACCAGAGAATTACCTGTTTAGGTTTGTATGAATATGTACGCCACATCATCATCGTATGCAGCAATCACAAGGTCAGAAACACAGGTTGGGAGGACAAGATGTTTCTTGCTTTTTAGGACTTTCCTAGTTCTGTTAGTTACAGTACAGAACCATTCTGTTATGTTTGCTGTATCTTTTTATTTATGTTGTCTTTAACCTTGGCCCTGTTAAAAAAAAAGAAAAAAAATGGAAATCCCTGTCCCTAGGATCCTACACATTTAATGTGGATACAGACAAAATGAGGTACTTCTACAACATCTCATAAAAAACATTCTGTTCTTCGTTAACTGCATCACTATTACAGGCTAATACAGCAATAGACATCAAGTGATAGATTTCTAATGGTGCCACACTTATTAAAATATACCATCTGCATCCTGTTGTGATTTTAGTGGCATAGTAGAAAAAATTAATGCAGTGGTGTCACAGGCAACAGAAAGTCATCAAGCAGTGCAGTTCTGCCAGCTCTCTTACCTACTTGTGTGTGCTGGCTACACCCCTTTGCAGCTGGAGTAAGCATTAAAAGTAAAATATAACAGGTAGCTGCTGAGAATCAGTAAGGCCTTGTTGTTTACATACAAACATAATTCCTGAAAACGTATTAAAATCTGAAAATATGGGTCTGTCTTCTGATTCTGTGTCATTTTCAATTTTCAGCTTTTTTTAAATTTCTCTCTGTGAAGTGTTTGTAGGCGAGGAAACATTAATTACCAGCAGCATTTCTGTCATTACAAATAGAATTGATTATGTCCATTTAGAATCACTTTTCTTCCTATTTCACTCTATGGCTGTATGTGGTTCAGGCCTGGCTGCATTTTGGCACGCACCCCTCCCCCCCCAGTGGAGGAAGCTATGAACTCATTCTATTTGTCATTTTGGGAAGGAGACCCCAGCATGTGCAAAGGACCTGTTGTTTTGTTTGGGTTTTTTTAATTGTAGAAGTAGTACCAGCATGCAAAATTTGCATCCCAGCTTTCTCTGCTTTTGGCTTTGTTCATGTCTGAGCCATTTTCAAAAGTAGTCACATTCTTCAGAACCAGATTTTAGTCTTTCTTCCCTAGCATGTGGGATTTCAAGTCAAGCTCCTCTGCTGTTACTTTGGAAAAACAAGTTCAGTTTCATCATCCTTGGTCTTAACAGCCCACCTGTGCTTCAAGTGTGCTGCTTGTCCCTTTGGATAGTAGGTAACCTCTTTCAGCTTTGCAGCGACATCTCGTGGGCTATTTGACCTGGGAACCTATCAGATGTTTTTCTAGGGTGAAGTTCTCATGTGGGTTAAGTCAAAAGTTTCATCCAGTGAGGAGGTAGGATGCCATTTGAAAACCAGTTCATTAACTGTGTTTAATTAGGTAAGTGGCATTGTCAATATGATCGTCAATTGTACAAAAAAAAAAAAAAAAACAAGTTAGAAATCGTTAAACAGAAAGCTGTCCCTATTTATTTTATTTTTTTTTTACATTTTAACAAACAATTGTACTATATAAAAATATATTCTTTTCCCCTCTTGGTATATGGACTATCTACATTTTAAAAAAACCACAATAGTTAAATCTACTGTAAAAACGTTTTTTCTGGTACAATTAATCCAAGGTGTTCTGTATTAAAATTGCAGGTAAAAGCATTTCAAACAGAATATGAGTTTTTACAGTGAAACTTGTGTTTCAGCCAAAATCTGAAAAGTAAATATTTACATTACCAAATCCAACATAAAACTCTCCAAGCTGCCTCACTAAGTTTGAAAGCCATGAAAAGATGAAGAAAAGTTAATGAAGAGAACTGAGGTTAATACTTGCTGAACTTAATTGAGACAAAGTGAACAGCAAACTGAAGTGAACAGCAATCCTGATAGTCCAGGATTAATATTGCTGTTGTACTTCTTTTAGACAATCTTATGATTTGTATTGAAGCCTTCCAGGTTTAGGTTATAATTTTGATGGTTTTGAAGACTGCTGAGTATTCAGTAAATAGTTTTTTATATGATAGATACTCATAGGTGAGGCATAAAACATAATCCAGATTCTTGGGAAAACTCTCATATTTCACCAGATCACAGATGTAAAGATCAGCACTTCAGTCAGGAAGGGATTACTTCGGTCTCTGTCTACAACTTCAGAATATTTTGCTGCACAGCATCTCACATTTTTGCACTGGGCCTTCCTGGATTTCATCAGTTAAACATTAAAAATGTACACCCCAGTAACAGTATGTGGAGATAGATGTACAGAGTCCAAAACTGTCATAACTGGTGTCAGTGGCAGTTTTCAGTGAAAGCAGAATTAGGCTGTACTCTTTTTACAGACTTTGCTAGTTCAGAAAAGGAGTGCAACAGATGTTTGCCCTTCCTCTGAAGGCTGCAAGGTTTGGACAGTATACTGAGCATCTTAAGTTGCTGTTGCAAGGATCTAATCACATATTATCTAGTGCACAAACATATCAAAGACATAAAATCATTTATCTCAGGCTAAAGTAAAAGAACACATGCTCACAGTCTAAAATATGAGAGTACTCTACCTCCTTGTATGCTTACACACTCCCCGTCTAAACAGCAGAGTACCTCTTGGTTTTTAAGTGCTTGAGGCCACACAAACTAAACTAAGGAGAGAGACTCTAAAGTAGCAATATACAGCAGAAGCACAGCCTATCATCAACCCTCAATTTACAGAACTTATTTTTATCAGAAATATTTGTGTATCCTTTGGAGTAAAGAAGTGTTCTTGCAAGGAGAAGAGTGGAGTATAATAACTTCCAAAGCCTAAGTGGAAGACCACTGTATGACTAAGTCCCTAAAGAGGGAACCAAGATAATTCACACAGGAATCACGATAAAATGCTGGGGATTTATCCCTAGCTAAAAACTCTATTTTGTGTTCTTGTTTGCTATGCGGTAATAAATCACCAGTCAGACATGAGGAGAAACCATATTTTTGCAGAGAAGAGGGAGCTTTCAGGCTAAAATTGATGGCCTCTTCCAAAACGAAGAGCACTTGAGTGTGCCACCAAATTAAGAGTTTTCCGTGGCTTGCTGATGTGAGCTGAGGAGAAAGGTGAGCTGTGGCAGTGGTTGGCAGTGGAACTGGGTGACTTTGAGCCTGCTGCCTGCAGGAACATTACTGTCACAGTTACTGGTCTTCATGCTGGAGTCTGCTGATCCTTCTTTCTAAACTCATCTCAGTGGTGCAGTCACTCACAGCAAGTTGAAACCTCAGTGATAAGAATGCTTCAGTATAATTAAAATTCCTGTTACACCTGGTATTTCCTTGTCCAGGGTTTAATCCATGTTTCTTGTCTATACCCTTCCCAGGCACTTAGGCTTAGTTCTCGAGTATCAATGGAATTAACCCAAATTGCTGAGTCTAGGGTCTATTTCTCTATATTCTGCAGGTAATTCCATACTCTCCCAATGAATTCTTTATAAATTTCCTGTATAAATTTTGTTTAACAAGAGCAGCAGCAAGCTATATGTGGAAGCTGTAACTTTTCCTTGTAGTTTCTTAGCAGCCTGCAGGAACACACTGTAAGACAGCGCACTCTGAATCTCTGACAGACTTCAGTGATGACACTGGACTTCAATGAAAAAATGAAAAGTATTTGTTAACCATACTGGTTTCTTTCCAATGCATTGCACTTGGAAGTAATTGCACCAATATGTAGTTGCATTTTTGTGATGCCTTTCAGAGACCACACTTCCTCATGCTGCATTTGCAGTTTATTTTATTCGGACCAATCACACAGAGGTTTCACACTGCAGCTATCTTCTCAAATGCTTTGTTAACTAGAGGTTCCTGTAATATTAAAAAGATGTTATGTCCTGGACTTAGCTCAACTTTTCTGGAAAGTGATCATCTGGAAGTCAGCCTGAGATCCAGCTGTGTTGCACGGATTTTCCCTGCTTTCTGAAATGATCTGTTCCACTGCTTGTGAAGTTTCTGGGTCCTGAGAGCCTGGACTATCCAGCACATCTCCAGTGCTGTTACAGTGAAGAGGGGAAGTTATGTCAGGAGGCTGATCTGAGGGTTTGCCTGAAGCAGGTGGCAATGGCACTGGCAGAGGAAGATTCATCATGTAGAACACATTGCCCAAACGCTGAGACACCTTTAGAGATAAAAGACCAATTGCAGCAATTGTTTCTTGAGATAGCATTTAAAACATTAAACATCAAGGCTGACTCATGTAGCAATGCTAGGGACATCCAGGAGATCCCCTCTCAAACCCATCTCAAATGATTATTAGTTGTTAGCAAAAGTGGAAAAAAAAATTTCCATTTTCCCTCTTTTGTGTTTTTCTAGGCCGAGGTTGCGTGGAAGGATAACCTTGGCAATACTCAGCTTGGAAATGGCCCAGTGTGCTGGGCCTGACAGCCAGCTTCTCTTGTTCCCTTTGTGCTGTAGCACCCGTGGGACAGAGGAGAGGCAAACTGCCAGCCAGTAGTGGGGAAGGTGGTTTTAGTGAGAAGAGTAAGAGTGAGCAAAGAGTTAAAAACCAGGCAACAAGAGAAGCACACTGAGGGTTGATGATGAAATTAAGAGTTGAAGACTTTAAACACAGAGGGACAGCCTGTCCCTGAAACATGTACGATTATATTCCCAGAAGGGCTGTAGAAACCTCTACTTGGTATATTTTAAAAGTCAGGTTGGAACAGAAGCATGTGTGTGTCAGAGCACTTCTTACCAACTGGAAGGGGAAAATGTAGTGAAACTGAATTAATTCATAAAAAATATCTTTTCCATTTCAGACCTCAGCCTAGCGTCCACTGGTGGTGTATCCTGACTCTACTTGAAGTGTCTCTCAAACTGACAGTCCTAATCTCCCCTGATCATGCATGCTGTTGTAACACACAGAGAAGCAAAAGCACTATGCTGGAGTGATTTTGCTTCTAATATGGTGGTTACCTTGTCAGTGAGAAAAAAAAGGGTTTTAGTTTGGAAGAGTTTCCTCCTGCTGGCTTCTGACTCTGTCACATCTCTGTGACCTGCCACTCTGGCACATATTCAATGATCATACCTGAGAGCGGATTTTTAATGCTGGTCCAAGTTTTAATCCCATTGTATCCAGGAGATGTTCCTCTGTTAGCAGTGGGAGGGTTTCTCCATCAATAGCATGGTCTTTAAATAGCTTATGAAATGATAAAACACAACATGGTGTGCTAAAACAGACTTCACTGGTTAGTTTTTATGCTTATTCCTGAGGCAATAAAAGGAGGAAATAATAATTTTACTGTTTTGTCTTTGTATTTATCTCCTAGCTGCAGCATGAGGTCTCTTGTTCAGGCATGTGGATATCAGCACATTTGCCTGTAGTTTATCTACGTCTTCCTGGCAAGCGAGAACTTTGTAATGTTTCAGTGTTACTTAGTTCTTTTTGTTTGTTGGGTTTTGTGGATTTTTATGTAAGCAGCCTATTACTGATGAAAGAATAGTGTTGATCCTATTGAGGCTTTACAACATGCAAGATTTCAGCCTCTGTGCTTGCATTTCTAACAATATTTCATTTTTCAAATGGAATGATGCCTATAAGAACGCAGGGGTGGTAGGTGGGTTATACCAATATCCAAGAATGCAAAATTGCCTTAATCTGCATAAAAATTGTGCAGGGCATGTGAAGTGAAAAAATTAAGATACTTTCCTTATACTACTGGTTTGCTGCTGGTCCTCCTGGTATCTGTCATGACCCAAGTGCAGCAGAAGTGCATGTAACCTCAGATCATGGACTGGTTTCCCCTTTAAGAAGTAACTTCATATGCTGAAGCACAGTGAAAACTGTTAATGTTTGTAAGTCTGTGAGAACTAGTTAACCTCTAGCATTTACATTTGTTTGATGACCTTTAAATCTAGATGCTCGTAAAGACCTGAAAATGAGATGAATGTTTATAATCACCTGGGCGTAATCTGAACAGCCAGGGAGGCTAATGATGAAGTTGTAAACATCATCAACAGTCCACTTGCGAATGTCTTCAGATGAAGAAATGTCTTCTCCATTCAGGATCAGGCCATGTGCTCCTTTGAGGAGGGAACAAAAATGTTATGTTTCTGGCACTTTGCCAGCAAATCAATAGGAAGCAATTGTTAACATGAGCATTTTTACACTTCTCCAGAACCTGATGCATTAACTGCAGTGTGTAGTCACGGACAGATACAGTTTAGTTTAGAGTTTAGTGGTGGGCTTGGCAGTATTAGGTTTATGGTTGGACTCAAATGATCTTAAAGGTCTTTACCAACCTAAATGATTCTATGATTCTATATTTTTCAGTGATAGAGTATGTCTTTGGCAGATCATCCTGGACAGACAGCTCAGCCTGTTGTCATTTTAGGTAATACGAAGTTTTGCAAGGCACTGGTGTATTTAACAAGAGCTGCAAAGCTTTAGAAAGAATATTTCTTACATAGTGGCTGAGCGGCCTCTGTCTGATGCTGTTCTTGGGGAGGTCTAAGTCTCAGGGCTAAGTTTGTTCCTAAATGAGTGTAATTTCTAAGGGATTCCTTGTCCTGTTTGACAAACACAGGGATTATGATTAGTATATTGTGTGCTGCTACATTTCTCCCTGATCACCAGAAGAAAGAATATAACATGCTAAACAGAATTGCAGAGAACCTCAAAGTGCTGCTAATTTAATGGCTTAGGGGTGACAAGTGTGTTGTCCCAGAGACTGAGATAAACTCAGGATGACATCCTGCAGCTATATAGTGCATAGCACAGAGCACTGAAACAGTTAGGAGGCTGCTCTGTGACTTTTGCTGTGCAACTGCATTGTCCTGGAAATAAAAGCACTGTTACCTAGAATGCTGAAACCTCCATTGTGCCAGCAAGCAGCAGAGAAAACCACCTTTGCTGACTCAGATTTACCAGGTTATTCCTATTTGCTGCATATGAACTCTACATTCAGTTGCCATGACTCTATCACACGAAAACTTTGCTTAAAACAGAGGGAGGAAATAAGAGAGCAAATCAATAAATTATATCAGTATGCCACCCTAACTGTACTCTGCAGACTTGACAAACCTGAGGGTAGCAGTGCATTGCTTGGTACTGGGAATCCATATGGTAATGCTGAGAATGGGATTGCAGAAGGGTACATGAACTTGTCATCAAAAGCAGTACAGGAGCTATTAGATTCTTTCTCATTTGTATTGTTGCAGCTGTTAGTTTCAGTAGAAATTTCATGAGTAGACGAGTTTTTTCTCAAGCTTTGTTCAAACTCTTTACAGTTTTTGGCAACTGCAGATGGCTCAGTCTGGTTTTTGTTTTGTTCATGTTTGTTTGGTATCTGCACCTCAGCTTCTTTCTTGTCTTCTTTCTCATCATCCACTGCAGCTGCAGCAGGGTCTGTAGTTTTGTCATCAGCTTGGTTCTTTGTGCCATTAGCACTACACTCTGCAGTTTTGTGATTTCCAGCTCTTCTCCCTGGTCGACGTCCCCTCTCCCTTTGCAAAGTGGTGACTGGAGGGTATGGGCTGGTTGCCATTAGCATAGTGTTGCCATGAATTTCATCGAGGGTGGTACGATGAACATATAAGTCACTGGGGAGATGGCCTTCAGGCAGTCTGTGCCTGCCACGGAAAGCAATGGGACTAGCTGGCATCCCATGATAAAGGAAAGGTGCTTCCAGGCCCAGTAGTCCTTTCCGATGAGCTTTCTCCATTTCTTTTTGCTGAAAAATAGCACTCATCTCCATTTCCATTCTAAGAGACATACAGAGCACAAGCAGTTAGGGCAGCTCAGTTCCTTCATCAACTCTGTTTACAGTAACAGATTAAAACTCAGATAATTGAATAGGCAAGAGTACTGCTTGTCTTCTCTCCCATATATTGCTATGTGTGAGAGAACACAAACTGCAGATGGAATGCAAACCTGGCTATATTTATTGTGCTGACAGATACACAGAGTAAACTAAAAGGAAGAGAAAATACATATTTCATGTGATGCCTCTAGGTAATAGTTAAGACAAAAAAAAGTAATTTATATATTGGCAATCCAGGCATTATTACAGTGATTATGCTCATTTGGGATTTGGAAAATTGTCTCCAGGGTCATAAGACTAAAGAAAATAAGTTATTTACATTACTAATCAAAATTGTACTGAAAACTGCAAAACAGCAGCAATACTATTATAAAGAACTAGAATTACATTATCTATGTAACCTGTGCATGCATTCAGAGTAAGCTAATGTAAATCTCTTTGAGTAACTCTCGATAGTGCATGGCACCTGAGCATGGCTCTGAGAGCATGAAGGAGTGAGGTCCTGGTGGTAAGTGTTCAACTGCTTTCCATTCTGGTGGATGAAGCCAGTGCTCCATGGCCTGTGACAGCTTCCTGCCCCTGGCATTGTGGTTAGGAGGGCTTACCAGTGGGACACGGAGAATACAAGTAGTATGTGCCTCTGTTGTACCAACCTTTGCTGTCATCGGCTTTCTCGGGAGCCAACCTAGTGAGCAAACAGAAAGCTGTAGCTCCTACTGTAGCTCTTAACTGCAATGAGGGTAATAGGTCAGAGAGAGTCTGACTTTTAGGAGACTTCTCATTAATGTAAAATTGTCAGAAAAATAGTTGGGTCAAAAGGTATCTATTCAGACTGTTGTGACAAAAAGGAGTTAGTTGATCACTCCATAACATTTGGGGGCTTTTTCTCTGCCCTCTTTTCATCTTTGCAACAACCTCCATATTATTATTTTTCTGCTTTCAGAGATGCAATGGAAGTGTTTTGTCTATGTACCATGTCCTTGTACCTCTTGCCCTATTGTTGTTACTTACACACAGCTCTTGAGGTGGAGATAAACCAGCAAAAAGCCTTACATTTGTGACTACTCCTCCAGATAAGATAGTCTGCTTCTCTGAGGACTGGCAGATGGGGGATCCCTGAGCATTGGTATGAGGCAGAGTCCCTTGGAGAACAAGGATTTGGGACCAGGTGCTCAGCAGTACAGCTGCCACAAGCACAGCAGATTGTTTGCCAACACCTGATTTCTAGAAAGCCTGAGAGGAGCAAGTGCAGCTCTAAAAGTAATGTGTGCAGTAGAAAGCAGCATGGAGCTAATGCAGTTGTCAGGACAACAGAAGGCTGGGGTTAAGTGTTCTCTTATGGATTTAGGCTAAGCTTTTTTTCTGCTGGGGTTCTCTTGGGTTTGGTGGACTGCAGGAAGAGCCTGAAGAGGTAGGATTAGCTCTGATGTGGCTGAGGGTGTATGTGATGACCATGCTTGCTGCTAGCTATTTTACTTGTGTTTCTGAGGGGTTTCACCATATGACAAGAGCTGTATGAAATGTATTGTCGATGTAGATCTTGTGCTTGAAAGTAACTGAGCTTTGCTGACTGAATATCTCAAAATGCTTCTGTCATAATTCTCTGGAGATGCCTGCTGAGAATTTATCTGTTCTTTGATTGTAGTGTCTGAGGGGCACTGCCACTCAGGCCTGTGGTGAAGCCTAGTGCAGGAGTTGTTGAGGTTAGAGTTTGGCTATGGAAATGGTGTGGCTGTGAGGGCAGCAGTAGCAGTTACTTAACCAGTTACTGATTACCCCAAAACTGGTACAAATAATTGGACTTCATAGTCACCCTGACATTCAGACTGGTTGAATTAGGAAAGCTGTCCACCCTGGTAGGGTGGAGACACAGCTAATCGTGCCAAGGGCCCAGCTGCAAAGGCTTAAAATGTTGTGTGCTGTCACACACAGCTGTGATGTTTTAATTTTTTGTGACTTTTTGTAATTTCAGATTATTTGGATCCAGAGTTCAAGGACTAGGGCTGAAGTTTGTAGCTTCTTTGTGTCTTTAATTAAGCTGGGGGGGTTGTTTCCTATATAATTTTAAGGCTAAAAGCAGAATGGGGGCAAGCAAAAAGTTAAGTAGCTTCATATGTTAAGAGGTAATCAAGGTTCCTCTGCTTCCCTGGGTGACTTGGAAAAAGTATCTCAATCACTGTAAATAAAAAACCACAGAAAGTATGTGAAATAACAATTTCCACCTGCCTTTGCTGCCCTAATCCTGGCATCTACCTCAAAACAACGTTTACTATTGATTACCTGGCAATATTTTGCTTTTGAACCAGTTCCTGTCTCCTGGCCACAGCTTCCATGGATTCTGGTTGCAGAAAGCTATATCCTTAAAGGGCCAGAGAGGAAAAAAAAGAAATCTGTAAAATTCACTTGTTTCTTAAAGCAAATGCACAAATCCCAAAGCAATACTGAGACTCGAACTGTGTGCTTCACTAGGAAGCTGATACAACTTCAGGCTAAGTTCTGTTTGTGTTCATTGCTTTGAAATATGTAGTAAAAACATGTAGTCCAGCATCAGCTGTTTGCAGGATCAGACCTGTAGTTACTTGCCATTAACCATGAAGGAAAGAGGACAGCAGGGTGACTTTGTCTGGTGCCTTATGTCTTTGAAGTACATATAGCTGCTCAGAAAATAATAAGCAACAGTTAAGCAAACCTGCTCTTCAAAACTGTTTTCAGCCTAGGTGCCATGTAATTTACATTGTACTTCCTCGAGGGAATCGGGGGGGGGGGGTGTGTGCTGAAGCCTGAATTTCTTGTTTATGGATCTATGTGACATTGAGAGTTTATTCCCTTATGTCAAAGAAGGAACCTTAAGATAATACGGTTCACCTTTGTATAAAGTGATACCTAAATTTATGCACAACATATGTGCCACAGTTGTGTTGCCACACTGTGGTCTCAGTCTTTCCCTTAGAGCTGTGCCCTGTAATTTTGAGCCTTTATTAAAAGAACTTGTAGTTGCCCTACATGTGTGAAATACCATGTTACAATATGATTAAAGAATATGATCTTAAGTAAGGTAGTCTTAAAGCAGCCAATGCTCACTCATGAGCAAGAGTTAAATGTAGCAAAAAAAGTGTTGATTGGACTAGTTTATTTAGTGACAGTGTTCTGTTTGAGTGTGAGAATGCTTGGAAAATACAAAAAGAAAAGGGAAGAACAAAAATGTGCAAATGATTTTGAAAACAGTGCATTTAACAAAAGTTAAAATGGATGTGTTTAGACTTAAACTGGCACAGTTTAGACTCTCTGGTAGGCAGACTGCCTCTTCTCAGTGAGACTGTTTTTCCTAAAGAAAACAAACTGTTATTGACACTACCAACAAACCTCTGAAAAACCAGTAGGTGGAGTTTGCTTTCTCATTTACAGGCTATCGCTTTTCAGGGTGCAGAAAATGCTTCGTTACCTGGGGGTGGGTAAACCCGGTTGGACAGTATATTTGGCATGTTTGCATGCTGTGGGACCGTGGGCCCGAGGTGGGATGCTATATGGATTTGTCTTGGGTCAGCTGATGTCATCATTTCAGCTGAAGGTAACAGATCTCTGAGAGGAAAAAAATCAAATACATTCAGATACACAACGGACATTGTTTAGTTAAGAATAATCTAGCATGTTTATATACGCAGGTGCAGCACGGTTATTCTTTAACTGCAGTATTACAATAGGGAAATGTTGCAAAGTACCTGTCAACGAGCCGAGGCTCAAACTGGGAGGGAATCGCCTGCATTCTCGGCTGGCCGGCACCCATCAGCTGAGGGTTTACTGCCATCAGCTGGTTGCGCATGAGCATCTCTTGTCGCTGCCGCAGTTCTGACAGAAAGCACATACAGTTCTGTTGTCAATGTAGTGAATTAGAAAGTGATCCTGTCTGCAGTATAACTGTACTTGAAAAAATACGGGTGTTTCCTCAAGCATTTTAGTACGAGTTAGCAAATCACACCTTTTTTTTAATAGCAGTAACCAAAAAACTATGTTTCCACTGCCATGGCAACCTCTTTAGTTAAACTAATGTATATTTATACAATCAAGCTGCAGTAAAAATAACAGGATGTGCGCAGCCAAGTGTACAAAAGGACAATTTACAATTAACAACAATTCATTAATGATATGATACAGAAGAGAATAGTGATGAATGTTAATTTCTCTGCTGGAAAGTTTTTGTTTCTAAAACAGTTTTAGAAAAAAATTATTAGCTGGAACCTGGCTTGTTCAGCATCTCTAAGAAAAAGGAGCCCACACTGGTGACCAAGAGCATCATAACATCCAGCTATGGCTTTTGTTTCTGAGTTCCTGTGTGACCTTGACTCCTCTTCCAGATGCTTAGCATCACATGATCAAATTTTGAATGCCAAGAATCCCCCATGTTAGCTTTTAATTACCTTTAAGAGAAATGTTTCTCCAGTTACTCCTAAGATAAATTTGAAATACCTTTTAAAGGCATTAAACCTGTTGCTGGCTGTTTCTTGTGCAGTGTGCAACTAGGTTTCTTCCTGCCTACCTCCTGCTGCCATTCCACTTGCTAACCGATATAAGTGCTTTTCTTCTAGTGTTCCTTGTTCTCCCAGGATAGACATTTTTCTCATGTGATCTCGTGGAGTCATTCTGCAAGGAGACAGCAGCAGCTTTTCTGTTGTAAAGAACTGAATCAGCAGGTCCAAAGACAAGAATAAAACATTAGAAAATGTAAGAAACAGAGCAGATTATGTAAGTTATTTCTCAGATAAGCAGGCAGTCCTTCTGCCAGTCACAGCTGTACCCTTTAATGCTTGTGGATTGTATGGATACCATATAGAAACATCCTATTTTGGGGACAATGCAAATGTTTCCCTTATTTATGCTGAGTTGTTCAGTGTCCTTGAGTCTTACTATGCAAGAAAAGTCAGGATGTTGTGAAATACCAGCTGCTCAAAGGGACATGAGTAAGCCTGAGTCTTTTGCCTGCAGCCCCTGCTATATCCCAGCAGCCCTGAGAACAGTGGCAGGTATTGCACTTAGGAAGGCAGGTATCTGGTTTTAATTTAGGAATTGTGATACTTGGTATCCCTATCTACTATAAACTAAATGAAACAGCTGGAAAGAAATGGTAGAAATAAGCTGTTCTAAATTACATCAGCCCCTTAAGACTGGTAGGCTCAGATTAATTATCCATATATGTACAGGTAAATAAAGCCAGATGAAGAGTAGAAATCTAGACTAAAAACTAATACACTACAGATGCAGAACTGAATAACTATGCTATCATTAAGGTGGATGGCATGGACATTTCTAAGTTTGTCCAGGGAGGAAGGTGACAAGTTTACAAATGATCCTGATACCAGGGTAATGAATAACCACAGTATAACCACCCTACTTGGGATTTTGACCTACAGCAGGATTATTTCTGCAGGTAGAGGAAATAAGTCCTGTAACACTCAGCCTGGATGTTAAACAGCTATCCTGTGCAGGATGCTTTGAGGGGTTGGCAGAGGGAGCAGGCTAGCTGTAAAGGCAACAGAGGCATCTGTACATTGCTTTCAAATTAGGTTTGCACAGCAAATGATTGATTGATTTTATTAATTTTTTTCTTCAAATTAAATTGAAATTAAGGGGTTGAATTTTCTCCCACATTAGATCTAATGAAATGGATTCTGTCTTCTGAAATAAGGGAGATGTAATGCGTAAAAGTGTTCTCAACTTGCAGGTAGGGAGTTACAGCTCATGAGTTCAGCTGGCATATGGTATAGATAAGTGAGGGACACCTTAGGAATGCTAAGAGAAGTACAGACACTACCAAAGCCACTGACAAATTCCCTGATAGCATCTACCTTCCATTTCAGCTGAGTGCTGACAACTGCTGAATTCATGTTTAAAAATCACTCCACAAAGATGTGATCTCTGAAGCACAAAAGGCTAAAATCACCCAGAGCTTTGGATGGTTTAGCTTTTTATGGCTTACTTGCCTAGTCTGTCTTTAGCATGTCCTGATGATGCTATTGCAGTAAAATGTCAGCCCTCCCTGAGAACTCTGACTACCTTTTGCTCAGGTCTTTCATATGTATTTTCACATTTATGCCAAACTTGCTTTCTTTTCAGGCCAAAACATATTTTATTTTTTACACTATCCTGTCCTGCTTCTAGGCTTACTAATTCAAGGCCTGTGATTAATGGCTTTGGCATGATAAAATCCAGCTGCAGCACCAGTTGTGTGTATGTGACTACTGCAGAGTCAGTGGTATTGTACAAATACCAATAAGATTAAACACAGCTTGAGATGTTAACACTATTATGAGTACAAGACAGATCCAATTGCCAAGCGATTTGTCTGCCTTTCAACCAGATGCCTAGTATGCAGAAGTTCCTTAGAAACAGTAAGCAGGAATAACCAAGATTCCCCTTTTAACAGCCAGTCCTTCTCCAAAACAGAGCTGAACTTTAAAAACCGTTCAATACCCAAAATGTGATATAAGCCAAGTCCTGCATTTTGTTACGCAAGCCATTTATAAATTAGAATAATCATTACATCTCCTTTTATTGCCTTTGACCTATTGATAAGTTACAACATATTTTATGGGAAAGCTGTCAGTCTAATTCTCTGATTCTCTGATTCTGTGATTCTAATTCGCATGCTTCAGGAATTTGCCATTTCCTTGGTATGGTGTGGCTACTTGGTCTCTGTCTCAAAATGAGTTTTCCAAAAGGCAGACAAGTTAGTAATTTCAGCTGTTCTGACTGAGAGCAGAGGTTATACTTGGAGCACATTACTGGTGTTCCCTCAAAATAAAAAATGCTTTACATTTGTAAGTGCTAGATTATATGTTGGCCAAGATTCAGGTCTTCCTGGAAGCAGATACGCCTGTCAAGTCCAAGAACAGCACCGTGTACTTTGTTCTTGACGTATGTACCTGAACATGTGCTGCTGGGTGTGTTTCCATTTGCTTTTTTTTTTAGGATGCTTTAGACTTAAAGCGGTTTAGGATGCTGGGTGCTTCATGAAGAGCATTTGAGCTGCCAAAGTGCTTCTGAGCTGCTAAAGCATTTTAAAGCTCAGTACTAAAGCGATTTAGTGCTGAACTAAACTTTACAGCAGCTCAAAAAATAGATGGCTACTGGGATGATAGTACTTGACCTACCATATTGGTCCACTGAGCCATTTAGGTGGTTTGGCTGTGTATTAAATCCTTTGGAAAGCAAAGCTGCAATTTAAAAACTTCATGCTAACCGCCTTACAGCCTCGTCTTTCCTGGTGCACCTGACTACAGAATATTAAGGTGCAAAGCAACCAGCAAGGGTCCAGATAGACATTATGAGGAAAAAAACCACCAGGTTTTAGCCATTTTATTCTAGTAAATAATAATAATAGTAATAATAATTGTAATAATAATAATAATAATAATTTGAAAGGCTGTATTAACACTAAAAAAATTTTGTCTGACAGATGCCTGACAAGCTGTACCACTTTTGCTTTTTAGGAACTGCTAGAATGCTTCAATCCCTTGTTTAATCATAGTTGTGAATGCACTTTATTCTGGGGAAGCTGTCCCTGTGTGAGGGAAAAAGACACACAAGTAAAAGATAATTGTCCTTATTAGGCCTACTTAGAACTTCTACAGTCCACCCTGAAATCAAACCTGTGACTAAAATTATTTGATACAACTTTTAAAGTATAGAATCATGGAAAACCTTGTGGGAAAAGACCTATCTATTCTGACCCCAAACCACCACCTCCACGTGGGATCTTGTATACACTGTCTGTTCTGGCAGACATCTATCAATAACCAAGCAGCAGTAACTGTGGTTAGAAGCCAGTGGCACCAGTATCAATGTATACTTCGTGCAGTTCCCAAAACAAGTCTGGATTTTGTGTTGGATGTGATGCTATACTGTCTTGTTGATAGGTAGTCTCTCAAATAGCCTCCTTTTATAGCTGAAGAGGCAACTATTTAAGAACCATCTTAAAATTTTTCTTTCAAAAAGAGGGGTTTTATTTTAAATGCTGGCATTTTCACTTAATGTAGTGTACTGAATACGGCAGCATCCCCTGAAGCTGATCCATATTTATTGACAGATTATTGTTCGTTAGATGACCAAGATTCACAGAGCTTCACCTCAGGCAACATTCATCCCTTCAGGCAACATGCATCAGGTAAGCAACTTATCTTTACAAAAGTAGTCTAGGTGCTCTTTTGGTTTGACACAGGGAAGATAGAGTATTGAACAAATCATGGAACAATACATCGTGGAAGTTCACTCGTGTCTTCTTCCACTAAAGCTGTAGCTTACTGCTTCCACTGACCCAGTTTTTGAATCCTTGCAAGCCAGAACGAAGGTTTGATTCCTTAATGAGGTTTTCACTGGAATTGCTTTGTGACATCATTCTGGTTTTTTCATTGGTGTGCCAGTCAATCCTATTTCACTTATGTTGGATTTCTTCTCAGATACATAAAAATAACTCTGGTATTTGTGGTAAAAATGTTGAGATGCTCTTTCCACTAGAATTCTAGTCTGCTTTCGTAAGTTGAATGGCAAAATATCAGTATGGTTTAAATTTAACTTGAAGGACAGATGTTGTATGTTGGTTATGTGTCTTAAATTACTTATTTCCCTGAGTCTTCTGTTCAGGAAAGTGTTGAATTGATCAGGTGGGATAAATAGTTAGCTTAATAACCTAATATACAGACTTGTATGTCACCCTGTGTCAGGAGATACTGAACTTGAGGATCTATGTTATTCCATTTGGAAAACCACCTTTTTTGGTTACTTAGCTGGGGTTCTGACTTGCAGGCCAAATTTAGGGTGCTTAAGGTTCATATTATTTTTATAACAACTAGTATATTAGAAACCAATATCAGAAAAAAAAAAGATCTCTGAGGGAACAGGGAAAGTACACTTCTAATACATATATTAGCTGGGATTTGTGAGTAGCTCAAAATCTGGCATCAGGCTTCATATAAATTCATACACACCAGCTGTCTAGTGTTACAGTCATATATGGCTCTTCTCTGATCCTATTGCACAAATCCTGGCTGTACAGCACATTACAGGGATGAAGACAAGTTAATCTCTACCTTTAGAGTCTTACCCTTAGCAAACCCTACTTGGCAGCAGGCAGAACCACTCACCCAGTACTAATTCTGTCTCAATTTATTAGATGAGAAAGGACAAGACATGAACTTCATGAACCAGAAGCATTTGCAAATCTAATCATGCTGTATGTGATTTCAAAATGTCTATATCTAGTCTGTATATCTACATTATTAATTTCATTGGCAAAATATAGTATAGTCCTGTGTATAATACAGACTTGGAAAACTTTTTTTTAACTTTTTCTTGTTTTGTTTTTGGGTTTCTTTTAGTTAAATACATTAAGATTTCATTAGCTAATGCATTTATTTACATCAAACACACAGAATTAGCCTTTTTTAAAAGCAATGTTTAGCATACCTTTGCAGTGGCTCCACAGACTCTTTGAGAGAAGCTGAGTATTGTTGAAAATGTTCAGGTAAATCTGTGTCAGAGAAATCAGTTAAACATTTAATACAAACATGTATGCATGCTTATGAGTGAACTATGTAAATAAACTCATAAATCGTCTCATTTTCATTTCCATTGGCTCCCTTTTTAGAAGACCTTTCCTGATTACCTGAGAAATAAGATGCTGTTTTAAAAATTAAATAAATATTCCAATATTATGAATAATCTAATGTTATTAACTGTAGTATTAAAGCGGTTTGCCCTAAATCTGTGCTAAGAATCATAGAGCTAGAGATTGTACTTATTCAAGAGCCCACAGCAAAATAAATGACTTTGGAAGGCAAGAAGGCAGTTATACCAACATTATGTCATAAGGGGGGAATGAAATATGTCTTCTTAATTGGGGTAAGGTACCACAGGAGAGGCTGTAGGGCTAAATTCTAATCCTAGATACGTGGGCACAGACTGCTCAGAGACTGAGATTAGAATGTAATCCTAAAACTGGATTGAGAACGATATGTTCCTTAAAGAAAGGAAAATAACTATATTTATACTGTGTGTGTGTCAGCCAGTCGCATTTGCATTGCGTGCCTTTACACTGACATGAAGACATGGGTGTTTCACCATTTCTGAGCTAGCTAATTGGTAAGATGGCAAGCAGCAAGTCACTTGTGTTTTTTCAAACAGACTGGCCTCAAGAAGAAATCAAGTCAAACCTTCAGGAATAAAGTTAGGTTCATAATAGCTTATCTTGCTCCCACTGGAATGGCTGGGGGAAAGGCAAGCTGTTATGCCTGTGTGCCACTAAGGCAACAATGTATAACCAAAGGTGGAGCTGCATTGTGCTGGGCACAAACACACAGCAAGAGGTGAAACAGGCAGATAGTGAAGGAAAAAGTAGCAGTCCTGCCATTTGGTATGACACTGGAGACATAGATACAGGACAGTAAGCAGCTGAGGTGGGAACTGTGCTTAGCAGTTCTCCCTCTCAGGCACCCAGGACTGGTTTCTGCAGAACCACACTGGTAATACTATTCATTCATATTTGTGGCAGCATCCAAAGACTCCAGCTGAGATCACAGTGAATGCTTTAACTGCGCCTTTTCAAAAACTGAGTAAAATAACTAAGCAAAACCTAATGAAAATACTGCCTGTAGCAGAGAAAGTGTGTGCATGCATACATGTCTGTGTATAACATTGTACATACACCCTGTCCTGACAAACTGGTACATGGAGAAGCTGTTTACAAGGGGTGGGTCTCTGTTATACCGGTTATATACAGAGAGAGAAAAGCATGATGTAATTTGTTTTCCTTGTGGATTTATTTCATAATTATGGCTGACATTTGAAATGTTATCCTCTTGTCTTTGATTCTTCTGGAAGTCCAAAGATTGCAAAATGTAGCCGAAGTGGAATCAGTAAAAGGAAAACTAAACTCTGTATTTTTAACTTTTTAGTATTTTTTTCTTTTAAAGCTTAAAAAAAGTTTGTTGGTTTTCTTAAATACCAAAAATATAATTCTTGGGATGGAAAGCTCTCTGGCAATTGGAGAGCAAGGCTCATATTTGCAGATGAAATGCAGTTGAATTTTAGTGGGATTCATGTGTCACTTTAACATGAAATACTAGTGCAAATGACAGCACTCCCAGTGCCAAAATAAACCAGGTAGTGGAAAGAGGAACAGGTTTTAGTAGGGCTACCTAAAGCGATTTTGATTTAATAACTCTTTAACTTCACTGGCTAAGAGGTTGAATCTAGAAAACATGTAATGAATCCTCAGTGCTTACCCTCTTCAGTAAGGATGGTAAATATTGCAGCAGTATCCCTTGAACTTCTCAAAATCCTCTGTGTCTTAATGCCACTAAAGTAAAACCAGATGGTGTGGGTTTTTATCATTAATAATTTCAGGTTAGCTTTCTTTATTACAAAGCAAAAGACATTACACATTCATCTTAAAACATATTTGCAGGTATGTTAAAATATGTCACAGATGTGAGATACTAAACCCGCTCTTATTTTCCAAACTCACATACGAAGTCACAAATTTTAATACAAACTTCTTCCCTGAGATTAACATGTGAAATTGCACACGTGATCCTGTAAACAGTCTCAGAAATTGGCATCTCATCACTCTTAGAACAGACTGAACATTTTCACCTCCAGTTTGAAGGATCAGACCTACTTGAGTTAGGATTGCTCACCTCTCTCTCTATTTCCGTATCTCTGGGGCACCAAGGAGACATGGAAATTCACATATCCTGTAGCTGAGGAACTTGAAATTTTAGCTCTGAAGGCAATATAATAGTGCCCAAGCCTTTGTCAGTCTACAGTTGATTCCACCCACATATTCAGATAATAATGAGATGTAAGGAACCCTCATCACAGTATGACAATAGTTTTACAAAATATACCACACCGCATGCATTGGTGTCCCACAAAGCTGCCAGCACTGGGGTTTGTTACAGTGGCTGAGCACACCAGCAAAATTTTGGTTAGGTAAATCTACATCAGACTGAACCAGTCAGATATATCTGTGTGATGATAGCCTCAATTCTGATTGCACACTGTTTCAGGGAATCCACCATCCAAGAAGTATCTGTAAATATTGAAGGTTTTCTGTTGTACTTTAAAAAGATAAATTAGCAGAAAGATTAAGCTGTGTGTATTAACAACCAGTTACAAGCCAATGAAGTATTTGTGTATATACATTAAGCAACTCAATCTGTATTCAGAGTCTTCTAGAAAAATACTGACTATGCAGTGACAAGCTTTCCCAACGTAAAATCCTTCATAGATCTTTAAATGTTTCTAAAATGGTCACGTTTATGTCATAAAAAATAAAGTTTGCACCAGAATATGCTGGATTCTTTACCTGTAAGAGTACATCTGCTGAGAAATCAGAACATAGTTAATCACATACTTTGCTTTTCCTGTATCACCTCTGCCTATTCCTAACTTTACTCTCTGCAGTCCAGTGCGGCTCTTAATTAAAAGCACCGTGAACTCTGCTTTGGTCTGCCCTGTTTCTAACATGAGATGAGTACTTCCTATCAAAATCAAAAAAATCATACACCTCTTGGTATTGCCTACCTGATACTGCATCACCATTTACATTGAAAACTAGCACACTTAATTTTTATTTCATGTATACTTACATCTATTGCGAAGACCTTAGTTTTGGGTAAAATGAAGACACCATGAACATCCAAGAGTGTGTGCCTTCTCTGTAAGTCTTCCTTTCAAGCCGCTTCAGTAACGTGATTGGCAGCCTTTAAAACACATCAAGATTAACATGTCAAAAACTGCCTTAACTAACGCTGACTTTACTTTAAATACAAATTGAATTTATCTTGATTAGCCCCCATCCCTGCTTCTAAGCCCTTCCCACTCTGACATCACAAGCTCTTCTCCAATACCATCCCCCTGTAAAAACATAATTACAAGAAGAGCACTACACTGATCTGATTAAACCTATTTCACATTTAACCTGCTAAGCTGTTGTTAGCTTTTAAGATGCTTGATGCCTTCACTAAAAATCTTCCTGTTCCAACAAGAAATAGGAGAGAAGGTTAGCAATTGCCTAGTTCTCACACATTGTGTTATATACTCATGCTGTTTTTTCAAAAGGGTATACTTCTGACTGTTGGCAAGCAGTCACCCCAGAATTGTGTTATCCCAGTACTGTGTATCCGATTAGATTGGGGGGGGAACTAGAAGATGGAAATCCTGTTAAGCATATTGTGAGGCTAACACAGGGATCAGTTGGTTATACTACTCAAGCCGGCAGTTTACTCTTTAATTCTCACTGTCAGTGAGTGAACTCTCAGATCGAGTGCCTTGTAAATGGCAAACTTTAAAATGTCAGGGAGTGGTTAGTTTCTTCTAATATCCCTGTCAGCTGATGGGATGTCAAGGTTGATGTTTGTTAATCCCTTATTCACCTGACTAAAGTTCATCAGGTGCTTGCTGCGGCAAAAAAAAATTGCCCAAAGTCATCTCTCAAATGCTAACATAATGCCTAAATCTGGAGTGAACAGACTCATTCCTATTAAGAATCGCTCTCAGGGTAATGTTATTGTCAGTAAAGGGATGCAATTCTGCTATAGTTCAGCATATCTGTACAGAAACCAAACTTTTTTTAATGTAACACAAAAGGCATATATAGTGTGACAGCTTTTAAATGTGGGATTTTTTTTAATTAATTTTTTTAGAAGTGTCTGCAGCACTGAATATTTCTGGTGTAAATGCTATAGTGGTTATTTTGTTGCTGTCTGGATCTTCTTTATAAACAAGAAAATCACATCCAGAATCACTGTTAAAAGAAAAAAAAATACTAAGTTTTAAAAATAATTTTAAGGCTTCCTTTAAAAATATAATTAGATACCAGTTAAAATAACCTGAGACTAGTTTTTATGTGGTTGTCCAAATCTTTGCACATGCAGGCAGACAAGGAATCAAAGGAGCATTCTATGCTTGAAGATAACTTTCAGCTTGTGTTCAATCCACTCAGTCTGTAACTGCATACCAAAGCCTGTGATGGGAAATGTAATGAGTAGATAGAGTCTGAACAAAGTTCCTTTGCTGGGACTTTTCAAGCTTCTCTGGGTGAGGCTGAAGTAAATGTTAAGATATGGTGTTGCCCAAATAAATTACAAGTCTTGCATCAGCATCTATTTTTCATCAGATGTTTCAGTCCACGTGAATCACGTTTCAGGAAAACCACAAAAAGTTTAAACCAGGAAAAATTACTTCCTGAGGTAGAAACAAACCCAGCAATGTAAGGACATGCATGTATTTTTACCTTGTTTACCTAGTGAGGGAAGTTTGGAAAGAGTACATTAATTTGCAAGACCCCTGGCATCTAGCTTTTGGCTTCTGGCATGAAAGCAGGATTGCTTTATGGTGTAGTGAAGTGTGACAACCACAATTCATAAAAATGCTGTAATGATCCCTCTCCAGGGAAGATCTAGTTGTTCTTGGGTGGTTTCACAGAGAGACACCAGGCAGAGGTGCGTGCAGTGGCCTGGGTGTCCCTCTGCAGTCCTGATTCTGACAGTCATATTCACCAACAGGGAAAAATAGCAAAGCAGCAAAGGAGGGAGAGAGAGGGACATAGGAATGAGTTATCAATAGAACAAAGTAATGTATAGTATGTCAAATTGATTTGGGCCTTGGTCTGTCAATTAGTATCAGTTGGCTAAGGTGGTTTAGGGCAGTGTAGTCCCACTTTATCCCCTTTGCAGAGAGGAATGTGAGTGGGGAAACACTGACACTCAGGGACAACTGTAGCCTGTCAGTTCCCACCCAGTATCTGGTGTTTGTAGCCTGAGCTACTGACACCAGATATACAGTAATGCAAAAGATGAAGCTGGAGTCAACACAACCTTTTGTACATTCTTAGCCAGGCTTATTGCCTGGAGTGACCTTTACAATAAGCAGTGAAGAAGTCTCAACACAGAGATTTGACCCATCTGGTATAGAGTGCCCTGAAAGAGTATCACTTTGTCATAGACCACAAGGAATTGGAAGAACAGTACCAAAAAACCCAACAGACTTTGGCAGTTTATGTACTATTCCAGAGCTGAATTAAGAATAAGGAGACTCTCTCAATTAATTTAAAAATAAATGTCAACTACTTCACATCTGTCACAATTCCTGAAGTACCAGAATGGGTTGTTAAGTGTGGAATCGGCTCCGTGTACTAAGGTAGATATTGTCTTATCATTGTCAGCACTGATTTGGGTCAGAAACTTCTTTCTTCCCTTTAGACAAAACTGATGACAGACATGGCTCAACTGATGGGATTTATGGTCTTCAAAAATAGAAGACAAAAAAATTGTACTAGGCAATTTTATTGCCAGTTCAAGAATTACGTTGTTCAATAGAATGCAATGCTGAAATGGACTCGTATGAGTAGAGAACCTGCTAAACTAGAGTGTAAGCAGGTTTTAAAGCTGTTTCTAAACACTGTCTATCATAAGTGGGGAATCTGTGAAAGAGCAGTAATCTTTATTTCTCCTCCTATGCAGTTTGCTGAAGCAACATACACTTCAGTGGAGACTAATTTCTATATAATGAAATGAACTGGATTGATACAGAACTCGATAACTGGCTTATTTATCACAGGTCACCCTGTCTTTTCCCATAACGAAATCTGTGTTCAGACATATCAAATTCTTTAGCTAAACCTCCCTCCCTTCCGTGTTTCCTGCAAAAGGTATAAACTAGGAAAGTGCCCACAGGCATAGGCAGGGGAAAGGGTGGTCCTGATGAATGGGTTAAGAAGTCTGGAACTGGTAGGCTGGGAATAACAAGAATGAGCTTGAACAAGAAGTGGTGTCCTAGAATCCTGGGATTAGAAACAATCATCTAACTCTACAGTGACACAGCTGGCTTGGAATCACACAGGATCTTGCCTTTGGGTTCACTCACAACAACTTCAAAAATACCCAGAGAAGGGAATGGGCAAAGCTGTGTGTCACCTGGTGTGCTGGGTGTGCAGAATGTACTTTAAACTATAGCAGTCCTTGGGCATTAATTTTTTTTCAGTCCTAGTTCTTTGCTTGGTTTGCAGGGCAGGTGCTCTGCTTCTAGTAGGATACTCTGAACAGAGAAGTGCCCAACTTCAGAGTTCACCTGTATTACATACACACTGACAAGATCGGCAAATACTAATTGGAACTGACAAGATCGGCAAATACTAATTGGAAAGGTAACAGTTGGCTTTCAGTGGAAAAGAATTACATTTATCAGAGTTCTTAGGAGATGTTTAGAGAGACTAGGTGGCTTACACAGCTGTCTCGTTCCCAGTGGAAATCTGGGAATTGATCAGAACTGGACCAAAATAGGGACAAAACTGAAGTTACAGTAATTTACTCAGCATAGCTGATCTCAAGTCCAAAAGTGAATGAGTGAGTCTAAGTGATGAAATATGGCTAACCATTAAGTTCTTTTGAAAATTAAATTGTCCAAATGTTGTATATTGAAAGAAGACTGGATTTTATGTGTTGCTGAATCAAAATCATTGTAAAGATTTGGATTTGAAACCATACAAATTAAGTTTTCAAATACCTGTTTTTTTTTGTTTGGCTAACAGAGTGTCTAACAGGACTGAAATGTCTTAGTCAAAGCTTTCAGACTGGACACATGCATAAAGAGCAAATCAATTTGTAAAATGGTATCACCACTTCCATGCACACACACGAGAGGTAACAGAAGCCACATTCTGCCATGTTTGTGTCACCTATAGAATTTCAGTGTTTTCACTCTGGATGTGCCTTTTTACAGTAATAATTAACAGAGCAAATAACACTCATTTATCTCTAATTAAACCATTTTATAGCAAGCATGTTTCCATATTTGCTTGCTTGGTGATTTTTTTTCATTAGCCTGTGTACGGATTTAGGGTATTTTTGGATATGGAAGGGCAAATTCCTGTTGCATTGGTAATCTGTGATTGTTAATCACATTCAAAAAGGAAACTGTTGGCTATTTTTGAACTAATTTTTGAACTAACTTTCAAAATAACAAGAAACACAGGGTCTCAGATGCTGCCACTTAGAATGACCCTAAAAAATGTTTTACAACCAGCTTACATATATCAGCATAAACTTGCTGTCGTGGCAACACATATCCAGGTTGAAGTTCCACAGAATGCAATGGAGAGTTTTGCTGAACTATCCAGACTCATTGTACCAGATGGCACTGTATGGAAATAACACTGATGCTTTGACTGTGTTGATTTCTAATTAGGTTTCTTGTAATTAATATAGTTTGCAGGCCTTGCATGAACTCTGCAGATTACCTTTTCATGTAAATGATTAACTGAAAGGGGATTAATCCTGGCGTAAGTTCAACTAAAAAGAATTTTCCAGCCTGAAAATCTTCTCTACCAGACCTGTGTATTGTAACAGAGAATGAAACATTAAGTATGTGTTTGTGTTGTTGAATTTAAAAAAAGAGTAACTCAAAATATCAGGGTGTTTTAAATACCAGCATTGTGGTTGTAAATATACATTTGCTGTGACAGATTTTCTAGTCATGCTTTTTTATGGAAATCAAAATGTATATTCAATATGAGTGTTGGAAAAATCTACTTATTTTGCTATTGTTTATAGTAGGTAAGGTAAATTCTGGCTTTGTAAAAAAAAGCATATGTTTTAAAATTCTATAGTTGATGTCTAGCAACTTGTGCTGCTACATGCATCAATAGCTTCAATAAATCAGTGGCAACGGGCTGTCACACACCTCTGTGTATGACCAGTTCACCCAGCACATGAACTTGCAAGATGGTCCTGCGAAGTGTGCAGCCCCTTCAAGTCAGGCAGAGTTCAAGTCTGCATGCTAGCAC